AAAGAATGAGGAAATGAATGAATGAGCGAGCGAAAGAACTGATGAATGAATGAAATTCAGATCGTCAGTGTCTATTTAACGCGTCTGCAGGTATCATTATTTCTGTACTAAATGTGAACGATGCAATGAGCAAAGTAACTATAACAAGGCAAACATAATTTATATTTGACCTTATGTTACCTTGTGTACGTGTCAGTTCTCTACTGAAGTTTGTAATCAGCAACACGGACACTTCCGCATTGTTTTGCGAAGCTGACGACAATCGTAGATGCATTGTGACTGTTATTCAAAATAAAAGTCCTTCAGCGGCATACACCTTACATCAACATTTTTAAAATGAAAGCACTGTCAGCATTTACTCATCACCATGTCGTTCACAGCTGTAGAACATAAAAGAAGATATTTTGAAAAATGTCTCGGTGTATTTTTTTATTTATTTAGTTCTTCCTATTCCATCAATGGTCCACACTCCAGCCCAGTAAGTGGCGGGAATGCAATTATCGTCTGTTTGCCAACCGCCATAAAACTCCAAAAGAAGAAAAATAATGTCTCAGCCAAGCGGCAACCTCTCTCGTGAAGCCAACAAGGAAGTGACTTAAACTGTAATTCATCAACTGGCCGCTAGAGGCTGGCTGCAAAAGGGAGTCAATCCCATAGACTCCCCGTCTTAAAATGCCCAACTTTACAGCAGAAAAAAACATGTTTACAGCCTGGTTCAAAAAAATATTTTGCCCTTCATGACAACTGTGAGGGGGGTTAATTTTTTTATAACTCATTTAAATTATAGTAAGCCTTAAAGTTCTGCATAATTAAGGGCGTGGCCACTTGAGTGACAGGTGGATTGCCGCTGCTGTCACCACCGTCGAGCTAGGTGGGCGTGGCTTCAGCAACCTGCTCCCGCCTCTTTGCCCATTTTCGATTATCCGGGAGTGACGCGCGGTGACGCGCTGCCACGATGGCGACGCCCACTTTTGAGCTTCAAAAACGCTCTTCGAAAAATCTACGGGTGACGTCACGGACACTACGTCCATGTTTTTATACAGTCTATGGTCTCAGCGTTTTTGTGCATACAGTGAAAGACAAGGGGTCCAATGTTTGTTTGTTTTTTGGATCCCATTGCCTTTCATATATCTTTTTTTGTGTTCTACAGAACACAAGCCTGTCCTTGTGTTCAGCCTGTCACAGGAGCTGCTGAAACAGTTCTATTCCGCCATTATTGAATCTGTCCTCTGCACTTCTATAACTGTCTGGTTCAGCTCAGCTACCAAATCTGACCTCAGAAGACTTCAGAGGGTAGTCCGGACTGCTGAACGAATCATTGGTACAACCCTCCCTTCTCTCCAAGAACTGTACTCGTCCAGAGTGAGCAAAAGGGCTGGCAGAATCACTCTGGACCCCTCACATCCAGCACACTCCCTCTTTGAACGGTTGCCATCTGGTCGACGCTACAGAGCTCTGAGCACCAGAACGACCAGACACAGGAACAGTTTCTTCCCTCAGGCCATCCATCTCATGAACACTTGACAATAACTGTGGAACACACACTATTTATTCACTCATACACTTATTTATGTAACACACATACTCAGTCTACATTTCAATTTGCACATAATATACCTGTACATACAACTGTCTATTGTAATATACATGTACAGACAATTGTCGATTTGTATATTTTGATTCCTTATTTACTTGTTCTATTTGTTATTTATTTTTATTTTTTATTATCTGTGTTTTTGTTCTGTCACTGTCATTCTGTTACACTGTGGAAGCTTCTGTCACGAAAACAAATTCCTCGTATGTGTAAACATACCTGGCAATAAAGCTCATTCTGATTCTGATTCAGAAGTAGGCTATACCCAGATAGCACACGTACATCATCTGCGGAGTACAAACATCTGATAGACGTCTTTAAGATGTCAGTTTCCATTCATTATAAATCATAAACGTCTGAAATATCTCGTCTATTTGACATCTGATAAGAAATGTCCTATAGACTATTGCAGATGAGCAAACACTCTAAAAAACACGTCTTGCAGATGTAAATGCAGACGTCTCCGTGATGTACGTGTGCTGCAGGGTATGAATGACATGGTGAGAAAATTATGTTAGAATTTTCTTTTTTGGGAGTGAACTACACATTTAATACTTGATCATTTATGTATTTATATAGCCTAACACTGATTCCATTCAAGGTTTTAAAATTGAGTCAAATTTATGACTATAGTAGGGGGAGAGTGGGGACGTTGTAACAAGGGGCAACATGGCTTATTTCTTCAATCAGGAATGAGCTACAGATATGATATTCATACTGTACATGCTCAATTAGCCCCTCATCCTTCCTGAAAGAAAACAGCCACATGTGACCATTCCTTTTACAAAAACTAATTTTCATATTTAAAAAAGTATTTTTTTATGATCAAATTGTTTTGTCATACTGTCTAAGCTGTTTGCGTGAAGCACTTTAGTGCTTAAAATCATTTTAATAAGTGTTTTCTTAACTTCTCATTGGCATAGCTAGCATGTGTAATTTCATAGATTAATAAAAAATTGACCCTGACCCTTTCAATACTCAAGTATCTCTCCTTTTTACTCAAGTAAATAGGTTAACTGCTAGTCAGTCAAACTAGTTCTTAAGACACTCTAAACATAGTGGTTATGAAACTGGCCCTAGTTCAGTAAACTTTGACAGAAGTTAACAGAAGGATATAATTAAATTTCAGTCTCTTGATTTTGATTAAATTTATATTTTGTAGTTCAAATGTACTGTAATAATAACCAAAACATGGTTGTTAGCCTACTTGTTACTCGAACATGTTTTTTCCCCCCATTTAGTATTCTTTGTTTTTATACAGCCAGGTTAACTTATTGAAGACCATGCTGTGCACAAATAAAATAAAGAAATTGCAAAATTATATTTAAGAATGATTTGAATTGCATTTTAATAAATGTTGCAACACCCCCTGTGGCGGATCCTGGCATGGTTAATAGGAAGCTTCCTCGGGCGGCTTTTATCTCTTCTATAAAATGTTGGGCGGTTTCTATAGCGTTATCTTAATGACAAATGTCGAGAGCGCTGTAGTCTAATGATAGCGCATCCATGTAATGCGCGAGCATGAATCTCTCCACTCGCAAGCGAATTTCCTTCCCTATCACAAAACTGGACATGCTCTTTAAAATATACAGTGTTCTCTTATGAATTGGCTGCTCTCGCTCAGATATTGCGTGTGCACGCTCAAACTTTGTCCTTGCATCATTGAAGACAAGGTAAGAGCTTTTTTTAAATTCAGGTGAAGAGTATCCAACTAAATGGAAGCAAGATAATATAGTCAGCCTTCTTTAGTTATTTATTTTGTTACTTAATAAGGTACTTATTTGAGTTAAGTGGCTATTGTAAATATGCATTTATTAAATTATTTTATTTTATTTAGTGCATGTGTATTTAGTTGTTTTTGTATATAGATCTACAATAAAAGCGTATCAACCAGGCCCGGTTTAATATTGTCCCCATCCATTGCTATAGTTATCACTATGTCACTGCTATTTCGAGAGTGAATTCCCGAAACTTTGCAAAGTGTGTGTGGCAGAAAAACAAAAGTTGTACATTTTGAATGGATTATAGCCTAGAAAGCTCACAAAGAGTGCACCCTTTAAAAAGCTGTCACCCTTTGTTCATCGCGATCTCACAAAGTTCTGTTATGACCAATGAATCTCTCTACACCGTGCGATCAATACACTCTGTATGTTATAATGAGAGGTTTGGATTGTATAACTTATCACAGAACAAACACAGGTGTGTGTTGTAGCCTTTAGATACCAGACAAAACCAGCATGTTCTGTCAAGAGGATGATGAAAGTGTTTTCATTTGGGTAAAGCCTTTAAGTGCCTTTAAGTGTTTTTATTATTGAATTTGTACAATTTCTCACGTGGTAGCCTAACATCTAATTTATTTGATTTTATTCAACCCCAAAATATTAACCTAAATAATACATTAGGTTACAGTGGGGAAAAAAAGGTTAGGTGAGGTAGAAATGGCTCCCTAAGATAACGTTAAAAAGTTTAAAATGTTCAAGACATGCACCTGGTCAGTTGCAACATTTGACTTTGTCTATTCAAGTGTAAATTGTACATATATTATCATATGTGCACTTGTTATAGCAGTGTGGGTGTGGCTTTATTGTATTAAAATTTTGTCTTTCCAACACAAACTGTCTCTGAGAAACTGAAAAAAATGCAAAAAGTGTTCCAACCATCCCCACTCTCCCCCTAATTAATAAATTTTCCCAAAATGCGGAAATGGTCTACAACATTGAATGTTTTCAATAGCCTAATACATTTCTATACTTAACTCCAAAAAGTTATAGAGATATTGCAAAATGTTTCAGAACATAACATATGGCAAAATAGATGTAATTTTCAGGTCAGACAGGAGCTGGTCGTGCTTTTCAACCAACTTAACAAAACAATGAGTTTTTTTGTGCGATTCAAAGTGAAAGTATTTGTGAATGCATGTATCTTTGAATGCAATTGATTGCTATTCATACTTTTTTTGTGCAAATCTTTCTTCTGAAAGTAACCTAACCAGACTGTTCAGATAAAAGTAGTACAGCTAAACTGACAGATAAATAAAACCGGTTTGAGGCACATTCCATCATTTAAGGGCCACCTTCTAGACTGATATATAAATGGTCCTTCATAGGTAGAACGATTTACAGTATAATTGTGCATGGCGTGAATAAACAGCAGAGAATCCTCTTCAGGTTGTTATCAAGGATTGAGGTATAATAGCCATTTCATAATATTTATCTTATTTGTCTTTAAGTTTGTGATTATGCATATCTTTTTTCTTTTCTTTTCAGATTAAGCCATAATGACTCAAAGTTCACTCTGTACAATTATCATCCTCTTTGTCATTCTGCACAACAAAGAAAGGATTCTGGCTTTTAAGGTTCTCCTAACTAGTTCCATTACCCACCAAGAAATAACGCAAAAAGCAATTTTACAAACAACAGCAGAAGTCTGTAGGGCTCAGGCACTTCAACAAGGAAGACATTTTGTGCAGGTGGGCGAATTAGTCATTATTTTGTTGTGAAATTGATTCATTAACTTCCAAAACTGATTTTTGTTTGTTTGTTTTTTAGTTTGAGGGCATAAATAAATTACTACATCAGAAATACACATTATGACAACATATTTAAAACATTGTAAACTGCAAAGGTAGCTGTGCTAGAAATGACTGAACAGAATTTTCTTTTACAAACTTTCTCGCACTTGCAAGTTCATGTCATACTAAAGCCCAAAGTCAGTCTTTTGATTTCTGCAAACACTGTCCACATGCGCAGGTCCATTTTTCTCGTGGCATGGACAATAGTGAATGTGCAAATGATTGAAAAAAGAAGAACCAACTAGATACATTAAATGTGTCTATCCATTCATTTTCACGAATGAAAATTATCAAAAGGAAATTACTTTAAGTCAGTGTTTGCATGTCTTTCTGTTTCAGCCAAGTGTGTTGACAGTTGAGTCTCTGACAAAAGCTTGCTCGTCTCCTGAATCAGCCAAAAGTTTCCAACAAGCCATTAGTAGAGTTTGCAGTAAAAATGCCTGGGTTGATGGAAAACACTTGCCGAGTGCAAGACATCACTTTGATGGTGAGACTTTTTTGGAGGGCCGGGACCTCATCACAGAAGGTGTCAAAGCTGTTAAAGCTGCTGCCCAACAGGGTAATTATGAAACTGCAAGAAAGAAGCTGGGTGAGACTCTACATACTCTACAGGTGTGTCAATAGAAAGAACTATCATCTGTCCCACACTTTTTATGACATTTGTAGATAAGGACAAATTTCTGGCAGAACTGATGCAAATAAGTAATTGCATATAGCGGATTCATTTTATATATATACCCTAACCCTAAGTATTCAGACCCTTTGCTCAGTATTTAGTAGAAGCACCCTTTTGATCTAATACAGCCATGAGTCTTTTTGGGAAAGATGCAACAAGTTTTTCACACCTGGATTTGGGGATCCTCTGCCATTCCTACTTGCAGATCCTCTCCAGTTCTGTCAGGTTGAATGGTAAACGTATTTCACCAAGTACAACATGTTCCTGGATTAGCATAACGGTCCAAACATATAGACTTAACCCAATCCCTACCCCTAAACCTAACCCTACCCATAATTTATTCCTAAAATCAGTAAGAAATGATAGCTGATTAACAAGGGTGTAGAAGCACCTAACCCTGATCGTAAGCTTAAAACAGATATTTCCTGAAAAGTTATCCCTCAATTCTGATTGGTTGATAGGAATGTTGTTCCAGGATCAACAAGGATGTTGATCCAGGAACATGTTGTACTTGGTCAAATCATGCTCACCAATCCCGCAGCTCTAAAATGTCTTTAAAAATGTCAATAAAAAAAAGAATAAATAAAATAAAATAAAAAGGGTATTCTGGAGTCAAGGAAAAATGAGGCAAAGAAGGGTTAACTGATTTAGCAGAGCCCACAAACCCAAAGACGATACAAATTGATTGATTAAAGGGATAGTTCAACCGAAAATGATAATTATGCCATAATGTAATCACCCTCATGTCATTCCAAAGCTGTATGACTTTCTATTCTCAGAGTTTGTGAAATGTGTAATCAAAACCATTTGCTTCTTTGTATGTCTTTAAAGGATTTCTACAGTCACAGCAACTGGATAGAACTGGGGAACCTATTCCCATACTCCAACCTGATCAGACCTGATAGCAAAATAGACAACATTGCAGGTATGGAAAACAATGAAAGTGGCATTATATCTCTTTCTGTTCTATGCATTTCATGTATTCAACAGTTTTTGTGCTTATTGCAAATCATTAATACACCGTTTTTAAGCCACTACTGACATACTGTATGGTTAATTGACAAGTGATGTCTGAGCCATGAACAAAATGTTTTTAAAAAATGCACTTTTTAGTGGCTTTTCATTAATCGTCGAAATGAACTCACAAGTTCACACGCTCATTGAACACTAAACTAAATCAAATTATTGAATCAAACTAACTTCAAAATGCCCCACATCTAGAATCTAAGCAAAATTCATATGCTGTGCAAAAAATATTGTTGGATTTCTATATTTAAAGAACCTACAAGACCCACTTGTAGAAACTGTAATGGAGGTAACTGTAGCAACAACATATTGGAAGACATCATGCAAGAGAAAATACTGACATCAGGATACTTTGGATTCTTCAAACAACCTGGTACTGAAATCTTGATATCCTAACAATCAATCAATCAATCAATCAATCAATACAGTTTACACTAATCAATACATATTGAATATTACAGGAAAATTTTATTACAGGAGGTTTATTTGACATTTCAAGTAAGTTTACACCCAAAGGTGGAATCAATAAAGATACACGATCATCTGAGCATGGTTACCTTCATGACAATGCTGCGACAGTGGCCATCGCTGCGACCAGAGAACTCTTAGAAGACATTAGAGGTTATTTGGGAGACTCTAACTTTTTGAGGTAGGTTTTAATGTTTTTTTTCCATACTGTGTTTGAATGAATCATTACATCTGCTTTTTAATCAGATGGCATGATCAGTTAATTATATGTGCCCCCGAATGATAGACCCAAGTAAATTCCACAAGAAGAATCATCAGAGAAATTCTGGCTTACATAGTGACTTAATAATACAGCACTCATGGTGCTGTCAGACAAATGCCTTTATTTCAGTTGGCATTAACATGCCAGACTGCATCATCACCAAATCAGAACACAGCACATTTACATTTGTCCACATATATCAATTATGCATCCAGATAATCTGATCTCTTTTCCCCAGGGAATATTTAAATCAGACATACACAATTAATAATAAATATAATTATGACTGTAAAAATATTGATTACCTATAGGTCCAGTCATCCAAGTCATCAACAATTGAATTTACAATGTATTTTTTTCTCAGTACTGAGTATTGTTATCAATCACAGACATGTTTGTTTGAGTGCACAAACACAATACCAATCATATTCAGTGTGCGACACTGAGTTCTGTACTCTTGCTAATGTTCTTAATAACAATAAATTGTGGACATAGTGTAAATATGAAATTCATTGTGTAGTCTTGACAGTTTCACTGACTGTTAATGGGACTTTTTGGGAGATTTAAATCATTAAGTCGGCACTGAACTAAAGTGATTGACTGCATCAGTTGTAGAGGTCACAATACAGGAAAAGCAGATCTGAATACATTCCGATGACTGTATGTTTACACTTGTCTTTTCATATGTGGACAACATCTGGAAAGAGGTTGCATTTCAATGCCAAGTGTAAATGTAGCAAACAAAAAGTCATACATGCACCAGCAATTAAAATTAATATAGAATTAGTTGAAAAATAAATTCCTTTGGACTGTAGGTCTTTAAATGAAATTATTGTAGGGCTTTATGCAACCTTTTCAAGCAATCGTGAATCCTTTTCAAGCAATCGTTTCGGTCTTTCTCCTTTAGATTGATGGGATTCTCTCAGAATTCAGTACTGTGCTTTGCAATTGATACTACAGGCAGCATGGGAGATGACATTGATGAAGTACGACGAGTCACTTCTGAAATCACCGACAAGATGAGAGACGCTGTATCAGAGTACATTCTGGTGCCATTTAATGATCCTGGTAAGAGACGTTTTTTTACTTGATTTAATTTCACAGAGAATATGTGTGTACCTCT